AAACGCCTACAAACTGCAATTTATCCAATATTAGCTAGCAAAAGCATCAGCTGATCCGCTGCAGAAACGTCGTAATGAGGATGCTCAGAAGGAGCAGGGTAAGTCGAAGCGACAACGCACATCTGCCGACGCAATCTGTCCCTATGCAACCATACCTTACGAAGACCAATTACAAAAGAAGAGTACTGAAATGCAGGAGCTTCTAAAAAAATTCATAAACAAACTGCGCAACATCAACCAGGACGCAAAAAAAGAGTTGAACAATTTCAAATTCGAAGGCGTCAAAGGGTCTCCCCAGATCAATGGTTATCGCAACAAAAATGAATTTACAGTTGGCAAGAATGCGGAGGGTGAAATCGTAGTTGGCTTCCGTTTGGGCAGTTATGCCAATGGTTCGGTGGAAGTTTCGGAAATACAAGATTTGCCTCACATTCCAGACGTAGCAAAATGGGCTGCTCAAAGTTTTCAGCAGTTTGTTAGGAACTCAACATTTTTACCGTTTAATCCAGAGGATAACTCTGGGCATATACGGCAGTTAATGGTACGCACATCCGCGCACAGTGGCGAAATAATGTTGGTTGCTGGCATTTATTCTTCAAATTTAACCGATTCTGAGCTCACAGATTTAAAGTCGAAATTAAAAGAATACTACGAAACCTTTACAGACAAAGAGCGGGGATTTAAGTGTACATCTTTGTATTACCAAGATGTAAAACATCGCGCAGCAGGTCAATTGGTTTCCCCTGTAGAACACCTCTACGGTAGCACACACAACACCGATAACATACATCATCTCGCCTTTAAAATAAGCCCGCTGGCCTTTTTTCAAATAAACACACAAGGCGCTGAAGTACTTTACGACAAGGCTATCGAATTAGCCGCCCCACAACCACATTCAACAGTGTTGGATATTTGTTGCGGCATCGGCACCATAGCACTGGCTTTTGCGAAACACTGTAAGCAGGTGTTGGGAGTGGAAATCATACCAGAGGCAATCAAAGATGCAGAATCTAACGCCACTGCTAACAAGATAGAAAACTGCAAATTCTTTGCTGGCAACGCTGATGACTACATACAATCAATGGTGCGTGAAGTTTTGTACGGCAATGCACCTGGTGCGCCACTAGACTTGATAGCCGTAGTAGATCCGCCGCGGGCTGGACTGCGTAAGTTTTTCTATATACATAAGCTGTAATTTGAGCAGATACCTATTCAATATTTTAATATTTCAGATAACAAATCTATAGCGGCAATACGCGCAGCCACTGCCATCAAGCGTCTGGTATATGTATCTTGCAATCCACTGCATACGCAACGAAACTGGATCGAACTTGGCCGACCGGAATCGAAGCAATATAAAGGAAATCCATTTTTTCCAAAAACAGCAATAGCTGTAGATATGTTTCCGCATACCACACATACAGAATTGGTCATACTTTTCGAACGCGCCGCGCAGCCAGAAGTTCCAGAAAAGCCAAAAGAAGCAACAAGCACGGAGAGTGTAGATGTTTCTGAACTGGAGAGTAAAAGCGAAGAAAAAGGTGCCTTTGAAACTACGGAAATTTGAATTTCGAAAAAGTTGTTAATATCTAGGTATACAAATACTTGTATATAGATATTTAGCAGAATTTAAATATATATTTTTTTTTAAATAAAAGAAATTGAAATCGAAATAAATCGAAATTTTTATCACCGTTAATAAAAACCGCCTCGGTCTAAATTCATAAAATAATGGGGTCATAATCGGACAAATTTGTTGAATATGTCACCTTATAAAGCTTTCTAGCTAAACCCAACTTGGGTTACCCAAGCATAGTGTAATAAGCAAAGTGAAATCAATATATGACATATTTATTTTTTATACGCTTATATGACAACGGTTGTGTCATTGCATTAACCCAATTGACACTAGCAACATTATAAATTAATATAAAACAAAAAAATTCGATTTCAAATCAAAAAATAACTGTTTTAGAAAGTAAGGAACAAAAAGAAAAAATTCATTTAAAATGCCAGATACTTGTGTTTATGCAGAAGCATTCACAACAATGAGGTAGGTATGTTTCGTGTGCCAACAGATGTTACGCAAGGAAGGGATTGGATGAATGCGTGTGGTGTTAAACTAACTGGGCATGAATCACGTAACTTTGAGACGATAGTCGTTCAAACGATACTGACAAAACGACCTCGTAAAAACACTGATTTATGCATTTGTGTTGCTGTAACGCGTTACTATTACTGTTACGTGAAGCAAACCTGGAATCGAGTTGATGATATCGTACAAACGATCAAACAATTTTTGGTTTTCATGAAGCAACACAATCTCGACACGATATCGTTCAGACGATTGTCGTCATACGGGATTCTTGCCCTGGATCATCGAAAGTTTGCGCTCTGCACTTCAAATCGAATGATATCATTTATGCAAGTATTAATGCCAAGAGAAGACGCCTCGATCCAGATGCAGTACCATTAAAGATGTTACCTGCTATTTCATCAAATGAGAGGTAATGATCAAAGTGTGGGTATGTTCTCAAATGCATTAGTGCACAGGCATATCGTTAAAATAACGTCCAATAACTACAACCGCAGTGCGCCAAACAGATGCGAAGTATCGCATAAAATTTATACTTTCACCAATTTAGTAATAATAGATGGTCCTGATTTGCAGTAATTAATTTGAGAAAGAATCCTTGATCTCAATGTGTATATATATACATATATAGGGAATTCTTTTGAGATGGGGACATTCTGCGCACTGTAATATGGTTTCCGAGACAAAGCAGCTGCACTGCCAAGTGCGATTTTTTTGTACCTTCGTCAAAACTATTTATGTATATGTATGTGTAAATATCAATAAATAGTTGTGCACAAAAAAATACGGTTTAATGACTAATTTATTTACCAAAATCGAGAAAAACAGGAAATCTCTAGTGCAACTCATGATTCAATAATACAGTGAGTGCAACTTGCATAAATTCTGAAAAAAAAATATTGAAAATGTTGAAAAACACCCTATCACAGAATTTGGTTGAAGAACGCCCTATCTCAGAAATCGGTTCCAAACCAAAGCCGAAAGAGGGTTAATAATTGCGTTTGTTTACTCATTTCCAGGAAAATCCAGTAAAAGTTTTTACGAATTTTCATGTTTTGGCGTTTTCGTACGCAAAAACTTGCAAGTTTTTACTGGATTTAAACGGATAAAAATCCGCACTTTATCCACTTTTTTGTCTTTTTTCGGATCGGGTTTCGGAGTTTTTGCTGGCTGCGTTCGTCACAAAGTAGGGGTCTTCATTAAAATTGATAAACACTGGTGTTACTAGGTTTGTATAGTAACCAATTGTCAGTACTAATTTGTACTGGAACCTGCAAATTTTTACTGGAAAAGTGTATGATAACCCAAAAAACTTGCAGGAGAGCAACAAATCGAGAGCGCAACAACACGGGAGAGCTGCAAATTCTTGCTAGTGAAATTTCTACTAGCAGAAATTAACTAGCAGAAGAAGAAGAAGAATAAATGTCAAAAGCCGCCATTTGTTGAATTGGTTTAGCACAAACAAAAGTAAAATGACTGGAAATCAAAATATTAATGAAGTACTAGACTGTGTAAGTGCTTGTGTGAAAAACAAAGAGCTTAAAACTGATTTATAAATAGTAAAATGTTTACAGCAGAATATCAAAAGGGTGCAACAACTATTCACTTGCAAGTTTTTACTAGTTTTGCGTTCAGTAACTTTTTCTCACGATTGAGAGAATACAAAGGTTGCGCCGATCTCGGACCGCTATTCCTCTCTTAACGAATTTGACAGAATCGTTGTTTGCATGACGTCACACTGGTGCAACTTGTTTACGTTTTCCTTGCAACATTTTTTCTTCTTCTTCCATTCTTGCTCACGTTTTGGCATTTCTCTCTCGCAATTGCACCAGTGTGACGTCACACACAAGTTATTCTCAAAAATCCTCTCCGATCGGCGCAATCTTGTATTCTATCATTCTTGACTTTTTCTGCTAGTTTTCTCTTCTTGTCAATTTTACGCTCTATTTTGCTTTTACGCTCTGGCTGCAATGTTTTACTGGAGAAGTTACTATACAAACCTATTATCTCATTTCTGCTGTAATTTTCGAGTTAAGCAAACAATTTTTGGACTAAATCTGACTATTTGGGACTATTTCTGACTAGGGGTCTTCATATCAAGTTATAAAGGGATAAATTGCTTAAATGTATCTGTTTATCCGCATCCCTTCATGAACGCGTCTTGGTAAATATTCGCAGAAAACTGATGTTAATTTAACTTATACGGCTAGATACGTTTCATTCTTACCTCATCCATTGTGTTCATTTACTTTTATGTGTCCGTAGCAAAAGCGACTACTTGGCAACCTGTAAGGCTTGAATTTTGCTGAAATTTATACATTTATCCACCAAAGTTGTTCGATAAACTGATAAACTTTGGTTGAATAGATTTTCATAAAAAGTTTGACAGCTCATTTATCAAAATGATAAATTTATCACTTTATCAAGTTTATCAAGAGTTTACCGCTACTGGCTTTGTTTCTTTTATTTTCTAGCAGATACTTATCAGAAAGAGTAAGAATGGGACAATTGAGACAGACGCTCACAGAGAGCGAGATAACGAAAAAGTAAAGAAACGCAACACTAGCAGAAACAGCAAGTAAACAGCTGATCGGTGCATTTGACTATTGAAAATATTTAGCGCGAATTTTTGTTTATTCATTTTGACAACGGCTCGTTTCTGCTAGTAAAAATTTTACGTAAGAACGAGAGAGAGCTGATAGTTTATGCTAGTTTTTTGGGTTAAGAAACGCTTTCCACCAGAAATTAGTGGTTATTGGTGATTAGTGATAATTTGTGATAAATATCTGTTAAGAAACAAAGCTACTATTTCTGGGAGATAAGGAACGCAATATGAAAGTGTTGAAATTTTTGAAAAGCTTTCATGATTGAAAACATCCTTTTTGTCGCTTAGAACGGGTCTGGCAAGGTTTTGCAAAATCAAGCAAGCACTTTGCTGTCAAAACCGGCTGTGTGCGCAAACGATTGCTGAAATTCTGAAATCGACGGAGATAAAAAATCAGAAATTTTCATTTAATTCTATTTATACAGCCTAAATAAATTCTTTATACAATAATACGAACCAGAATATGTCACTGATGCCGGGACCATTGGCGCAGGTGAGTTGTGTTAAGTGCAGCTGCCAAATACTCAAATAATTGAACGTCATTGCTTCTTTGTTGTACCTCACCCCTTGTCCTTTGCTTATTTCGCCTGCTAATCAAGAATGCTATCGAACCGATGCAAGTGGACGCGCCCATAGAAGATAACGACAACAATGAGGAACACCAACTGATTGTTGAGAATCCATCGCTCGATCTCGAAGTTTACGCCAATTCGTATACGGGATTGGCTACATTATACCGTCTGAAATTCGTGGCCGATGTGTGCCCTTCACTTCGTGTCGAGGCACTTAAGATGGCTATCAAACATGTAATGACAACGTACAATGTTAGCATGTACCAATCACTGCACAAGAAACTGGCAGAACTTAGTGCTGTGGGGCCAGGTCAGCCCGGCGGCGCTGCGGGCCTACCTGATGTGGCTGCTCAATCAGCAGCACAGGCAGGTGGGGCTGTGGGTGGCGCTGACGCATTGGACTTGCCAGCTTTTGACAGCAACTGGGTGGAAACTAAGAGCAAACAAGCTGCGTTCAATTTGGAAAAACTGGATTCAGATTTAAAAAATTACAAATCGAATTCGATCAAAGAAAGCATACGACGTGGACACGATGACTTGGGTGATCATTATTTGAGCTGTGGGGATCTAACTAATGCATTGAAATGCTATTCGCGCGCACGCGACTACTGCACCAGCGGAAAACATGTGATTAATATGTGTCTGAACGTCATTAAGGTATCGTTGTACTTACAAAACTGGGCACACGTGCTTAGCTATGTTAACAAAGCGGAGAGCACACCTGATTTCATGGAGGGTCCTAAGGAAGCCAATTTGGTAAGTAATCGATATTGCTTTTAAGGTGCATTTTAATAAACCATTTTTACAGTCTGTCGCCACACGTCTTAAATGCGCAGCAGGCCTTGCCGAACTGCAAACAAAAAAATACAAATCAGCGGCCAAGAAATTTTTGCAGGCCAGCTTCGACCACTGCGAATTTCCAGAGATGCTATCCCAAAACAATGTTGCTATGTATGGAGGCCTTTGTGCACTAGCCACCTTCGATCGCCAGGAATTACAAAAAAATGTAATATCGTCGAGCTCGTTCAAGTTGTTTCTAGAACTGGAGCCGCAGTTGCGTGATATAATTTTTAAATTCTATGAATCCAAATACGCATCCTGCCTAAAGTTACTCGATGAGATTCGCGACAATTTGTTGCTAGATATGTACATAGCTCCACACGTAAACACACTCTATACAAAGATCCGAAATCGCGCGCTAATTCAATATTTTAGTCCTTATCTATCGGCCGATATGCGTAAAATGGCAACCGCTTTTAATCGCAGTGTACCAGCTTTGGAGAATGAGGTTATGCAACTTATTCTAGATGGGCAGATTCAGGCGCGTATTGATTCACAGAATAAAATACTGTGTGCCAAGGAGGCCGATCAGCGTAACAGCACTTTCGAGCGCGCCATTAGTATGGGCAGGGAATATCAGAGACGTTTACGTATGGCCATTCTGCGTGCCGCAATGCTTAAGAGTCACATTCAAGTTAAGGTAAGTGGTACATTTTTTTCTGCTTATTTCTCATAGTTTGATATATTTTTTTTCAGAACGTTCCACGCGACTCGGGCAATCATGGTACGGACTTTTGTGTAACCGCTGGATCGAGCACTACCGCAGCCGTAAGAAACTGAATTGATTATTTGGATTCAGAGGACTAAATTTGGACTCAACTAACACATTATTATAATTAGCATTTCATTCATTAAAAATTCAAAACATACAATTGTTGCTCTTATTGGTCCTACAGAAGTTTGTAACGAAAAATTTGTCAATCATGATCTGACTCCGTTTACGAGTTTGTTCTATATTTTTCTTAAATGCATCATCCACATATATATATATAGTTACAGATATGGTTACAAAAACATTATTCAAATTTTGTCGTTAACAAATGGCCATTTAACGACTGCGCTCACGACGTCTATCCCTTGAGCGGCTCCGGCCTCGTCGTTGATCTTTTGAATGCATCTGGCCCCGTTCATTTGAAGAATTGCGATTTCGCCGGTCTCTGGAGTAGTTGCGTTCCCTGCGTGTTTCCCTCGAACGACTACTTTCCCTTCGTTCACATCTTGTGGGGCTCTTTCGTCGGTCATCCCGTCCGCGATTTCTGCCATCATCGCGTGATTGGCTGCGATGGTGCCGTTTCACATCTGTTGAGCTTTTGTGTCTATATCCATTCTTATCATAACCACGTATATTTTTAAAAGACTCTGCATCAGATTCTGAATTTGAATTGGAAGAGTCACTAGAGGAACTCGACTCGTCGCTCGAATCTGCACGTCTGCTCTTTTTCCGATCACCTTTGGTTTTCTTTTGTGCCGACTTCCGCTTTTCCTTTTTGGAACTATGCTCTTCACTTTCGTCAGAGTAATTTCCACTGCTACTGCTCGACTTTTTCGAACGACTTTTCTTTGATTTCTTTTCTTTTTTGCTCTTCTCATACTTTTCTTTCTTCAATTTGCGTTTTTCCTTTTTCTTTTTTAGTTTCTCAATCTTTTCTAACTTCTTCAACAGTTCCAATTTCTGTTCTTTGCTTAACGACTTTAAAAAAGCCATTTCAGTATTTCCATTACGCTTGCTTCCCTTCTTTTCACCCTCTTCGTCATCACTAGGCACCAGTCTGTGCTGTTGATTAATTTGCTTGATGTTTTGTAGCTCCATGGCGGACCGTTTCATTACCAGACCATCTTCTTTCATCTGTTCCTCGAGCACATTCTTTGCCATCATCTCGCTGGCCTCAGCTTCCGAGTGCAGTTTGCGGGCTTCGCTCATCGAAATACTATACATGCTGCACTCTTTGTCGGTATTAATGTGACCCCATTTGTGACATTTAATGCATCGAACATTGCGCACTTGGATACCAAAGGGCTGATCACGAATCTCGGTGTCGCCTTTGCAGTATGATTCGCGGGGCGCGTTGAACTTCCGTTGCCACTCAAATTTATACTCTGGCTCCGTGTCGTCTTTTTCACGCTCCTTTCGTACGCCAGGAGGCGGCTCGTACATGAAGTTCACGCTTAGCTTGTCCTTGCTATCCTTGCTTAGCATCGCTTTGTTTTCATGCAAGTTCTGTTCCTTTTCGTACTGATTTCGTAGCTCCTCCTGTTTCTTCTTGTAAGCCTCCGCTTGCTGCTCGGCCATCCAAACCTGCACGATTTTATAAATTTCAAAGGGGAATGTAGTAAATGAAGATAAACACTTAGTTATAAATAAAAACTACAAAACCTTCAACACNAGCTTGTCCTTGCTATCCTTGCTTAGCATCGCTTTGTTTTCATGCAAGTTTTGTTCCTTTTCGTACTGATTTCGTAGCTCCTCCTGTTTCTTCTTGTAAGCCTCCGCTTGCTGCTCGGCCATCCAAACCTGCAGGATTTTATAAATTTCAAAGGGGGATGTAGTAAATGAAGATAAACACTTAGTTATAAATAAAAACTAAAAACCTTCAACAAATTTTTTGGTAAGCACACTTACCCTCTTTAGATTGTCTCTCGAGGCTGGATGGAAAAACTTCTTACACATATAGTTGTTAAAACCCTTCCCCATTTTGCGGCTTCTTATTCACTTACGAACTGGATAAGAATAAAAATAACTTATTTTTTCCTTATTTAATAGTTTTTAGAGTCGCAATAGCAATAAATACGCTATACATCTTTGTAGAATTTCTAATTTCCCCTGCCATAGGGATGTCGGAAAACATCGACGTATCGAAAAACATTGATGCATCGAAAATATCGATGTTTTGCTTCGATGCATCGAAAATTTTCCCCTCGATGTATAAATAGTCGATGTATCGATGTTTTTTGAAAACTGACATCTACGGTACATTGAACCGTCATTCTGGTTTTTCAATTGTCCAAAAAAAAGAAGTGACTTTGGCCAAACAATTTAAATGGCTGCAAGAAGTTCCGTTAGAAACATCATTAGCTCAGTTGCAGTAATTTATTTCAAATTTTCCACAATTTTGCTAATAAGATATTTTGTTGTGAAACATTATCTGAAAAAATCCTATGCAAATCGATGCATCGATGTATGCCCTTCGATACATCGAAAAATATCGTTTAACATTTCGATGCATCGAATCAAAGAAAAACATCGATGTATTTTTACAACTGACATCCCTACCCTGCCACCAATCACCAGCAGAGCTGCCAACTTTCCTTACCTGTGAGGTGCAATTTTGTGGATAAAAAAGTGTCAAACTGTGCCAAATAGAAAAATAGAATTGCCAAAATAGGCGCCATCATTTTTTAATACTTCCAGTTTAGCAATAAAATAAAAAGGTGTTCACTCGAGTCGATTTTGCGTTCAACTCACCATGGGTTGCACGAAAAAAAAAATTGAATGGCTAAATGTTGGCTGGCGACCAACTTTGTTGAAAGCGATTAGTTGAAAGGCCATTCAACCAAAAGTAGAATGCAAAGTTGAACAATGCAAATACCTTTTTATGGCGAATATTTTAATATTTTTTTATATTTTGATATTTTTAGCCATACAATTTTTTTTCGTGCAACTCTGCGTGAATTGAACCCAAAAGTTGCCTGAAAAATCGCCTCGTGCGAAAGCCCCATAAGAACCAGAGAACGTATATATACGTTCTCTGTAAGAACCATGATAAAAACATTACAAGGTAAAATCATTGAGAGGCAGTCTGACGTTTGCCAACAATATAATTTTAAAATTCGAGCTCAGGCTCACACACACATTCTCATTTTTAATCTCAAACAACAACCATTGTGAACAATTTCATTTTTTTATTTTCAATTTTATATGATTTTAAAATGTTTGCAAACGTCAGAAAAAAATCATGGCCGACGAATTGAGAGAATGGTTTTACCTTCTAATGTTTTTATCATGGTAAGAACTACATATATTTCTAAACCAAGTGCAATGCCAAAAATAAGATAAATCAGTAAAATATTTGGAAATAAGAAAACTTTAGTTGAGAAAAAGTACATTCAACGAATTTCACAAAAATGTATTCAACCGTTACTATTTTTCAAAATTGCCATTTCGGAAAATTAAGTGACATTTGAAGTAAAATAGGGCCAAAAATGGCACGGTTTGAGCCAAGCCGGCAGCCCTGATCACCAGGTGATTGTAGCTAGGTATGGAAACGTTGCATCGATGTTTTCAAAACATCCACTAGAAATGTGAAATTTTTTCTTTGATGCCTCAAAATTTCCTATTTTCTATCAATTGGCACAGGTCCATAATCGATGTTTTTTAACATCGATGTTTGTTTTGGGAACATCGATGTTTTCAAACATCGATGTTTTTAAGAGTGATGTTGCATTCCTAATTGTAGCTGTCAGAGATCAGTGCTGCCAAACTATAGGCTAACCAATGGCAGTACAAAACGAAATAAATGGTCAGCAGGAAATTTTAACATAATTGCGTTATTTTTATAAAATTCAAACCTTCAGAGCATGTGAGAACGTAATTCCCAGCCTTTTTTAATTAAAGCTAACGATTAGTTAATTTATATATTCACTCAAATATTTACCATTTTTTAAAATATATTTTATAAAAATATATAACATAAAGTACAAAAAATTTATTTGGATGCAGCCAGGATTTTCAACGGCGGCAACTCAAAAAGCCGGAAGTTCATCACATTGGCGATGTAACGGCTTTTAGAAATAAAAAATGCCGCGAACGGTTTTCGGTTATTCAGTATTCCATATTATTTGAATTTATCAAAACGCACCCTGCAAATATTGAGATGTGATAAAGAACCAAAGCCCAAAAATATAGACAGTGCAAACTCGCTGCTTCCAGCATTACAAGTACCAACACAGTAGACAAACCAATACATTTTTATAGGAAACTTGCATGGGTAAAGCGATTTTTGTTTGTGCTGTGTGGTGTATGTGTGTCTGTGTTGTTGCGGTTGCCATTGAGTTGGTGGTGGGATACTGGGTCGGCTGTTGTTGGCGCTTGCCTCTCTGCTGGGCGGTGCTACCTTTCAACCATTGTAGTTCTTCGGTGGATACAACAATAGGCATACTATTTGCCACTTCTGCTGGCGTCTCAAGCCTGGTCGGCTTTTGTACCGCATATTTTTGCATTTCCAAATATTTTTGCCAGATTTGCGGTATGCTGCCAACTTCTTGGTGAAAGTCTTGAAATTGCAACTTTAGATTGCCGTCATTGACATATACCTGCCGTGTCAGTTGATAGTGACGATCTTGTATTAGCATATTCCGAAATCTGATTACTCCTCCGACTGCAGCAGGGATTTCTTTGGCAGCACCTTCAACTCGTCCATTGACAGCCGCTGCGCCATTACATACAGCACTCGGGACACTGTTGGCTCCCCCACACACACAGGCCTGCGGTATAACTTGCGGTAGAGATTTGTTGTTGATGCCTTCCTTCTTGCTATTGACATCGTTTGATTGGCCGAGTTTGCTTGCGCAGTTCGGCACCGCGCCGTAGACATGTCCTTTCCCTCCCATCATGAAATTCATCTGCTCCAGCTGCTTCACCTTCTGCTCTAAATTGGCGTTCTGCTTTTCCAAGTTATCATTCTGCATTGTAAGTTGTAGATGTTGTATGCGATATTCGTCGATAGTCGTAGGCTCCACTACATGCCGGCTGGCATAGAGCTTTCCGTGCTTGAAGCGGGTGTGCACGTGGTGTGCGACGTAGCTCTCAGCCAGCGAGGCTACTTTTGCCAAGGCGTAAATGCATGCAAAAACACCCAGGAAGTTCAAATAGATGTCATAATTGCCCAGGCACACGTGCGGCTTGAGGTTTTCTTCAAATGTGTTATCTAAAATTGAAATATTTTGATTTTTATGTGGCTTAAATCGCAAGCATTTTACCCATTTTGACCTCTACAGTCATTTTCTCTTCCCTCTGTAGTTCAATTTGTTTGAAATAGCAGAGAATGATCCACGTCGTGACCGCCAGCGATATCAAAAATAGAAAATTAATTGAGGAAAACATTTTGACATCTTTGGAATTTTGATCAAAAATAAAAAAGAAAATTTGCAATGCAAATAAAAATTTGATTGATTTCACACGTTTTCACACAATTTCTCCGTTCGTATAATTTGAGACTAAAGGAAAATGGCCTGAAGTCAAAATCATGTCGGAATGTGATGGGAAAAGGCAAGTACCTCTGGCGACAAGTGCTTGGGAACAACTCATAATCAAGTCCGGTCGACCCCAGTACGGTGGGATATATATATATATTTTTTTTTATTAATTTCTCATTCAGTCTTTGCACTACCGTTACAATGCATTTCACCCGCTACTCGACACAACGTCATTTCGTTTTGGCGTAGAGGTTTTGAATGCTGAGGTGAATTATTCATTTCAGCCCACCTCTACGGTGTTCTACATAAAAACAGAGACTTTATTTTTCCATTTTCTATTAAAGTCAATGTACATAATTAATAATATACATTTGTAAGTAGCTTAAATTTAGTTAAATTATTTTATTTTTTCTAAAATTTACTTAACGGATACTTTGACCTTCTAAACAATTCAAATTTACAAGTATTTTCAAACACTTTACCGACCTTGCGAAAAGCTTTCAATGTCATCGTAGCCGCGATAAGCTAATTTGTATCCAGCGATTGCGTGTCCGAACTGTACCGCCTCTTGCAAATCCTTATCGAGCATGTGTAACGCGTATATGACAGCTGCGCAGAATGTATCGCCCGCGCCTAGCGAATCTACTATCTTCTGTACCGGCTTTGAAGGCACGAAAGCGTAATTACCATGCGCGTCTACACAGGCAGCACCATCAGCACCCCATGGGCATACAATTGCCGGCTTGGCGTTGTTCTCCCCTCGCTGAGGCTTGAATCTGTTATACAAACCCATTACTGCTTCCTCTGGTTTGTTCCAACCCAAGAAAGTTGCCAAATCCTTTCCCAGGAACACACAATCGGCGGCCTCACCCAACTCCAAAATTTCATGCTTCATTTTTTCCAAATCCACCGATATTCTAATACGCCCCCTCGGATCTTTCAGCTGTTTGTTGTGTGCGCGAATATCACGTATGAATGGTAAGATAGACTCAGGATTGCGGCCCTCCAAGTGCACCCAACCATAGTTGGTCAATTTCAGCTGAGCCAAGTGCTCGAATGTCAGCGAGGGAAATCCAGGATTCGAATGTATAATAGTGCGCGAGCCAGTTGCCTGGTTGAGTATGACCGATGAAAAGGGTGGATCCATATTTGTACTGGGACAATTATCTATGCATATTTCACGCTTGCGACAGTCTTCATAAAGGAAACTAAATGCCGGTGAGGCGCTCTGCATGCCCATAAATTCGACATCAGGAGCGCCCAGTTGTCGCAGCACAGTGCAGTTATTGGAAGCATTGCCGCCACGCTGCCAATAGCCAGCCAGACAGCGTTTGTCGGTATCCTCGACGGGGTATTGCTCCACAAGATGTATGACATCCAGTACACACATGCCCACGCAGACTATGCGGCCTTTACATGGCATTATTTCTGTTGCGACACTCGTTGTTTTACTTGTACTTTAGTTTTAAGTATTATTTTGATGAATTACTGTTCATTTGTTTTGATATTAAATTTCGCTGCTCACTACACTTAGCGTTTGCGCGGGCTGCAAGTACAATAATTAAACGATTCTTCATCAATTTGTGGACAGTTTTAATCGAACTTTGAAATTAGTTTATAAATAAATAAATAAAACTATTTGCTTGTGACGGCAACTGCACTCGAAAACAGTTGTTTCCGTTTAGCTACTCAGCTTTCAACTAATCACTAATCACCACTCAGCGTTTTATTGAAGGTTTTTTTTGCATTCCTAACTTATCTACATGAACGGACTCTGATTGCCTCCCAGTTATCGCGCTCAGAAGCCGTCTAAACTTTGTCGATAGTTAAACGTTCTCTCAGAGCGCGATTTCTATTGATCAACCGGAGAGCGCTTTAACAAGTGGATAATTGTGCAGTAAATCTTCATTCACACGTCGTATGCATGTATAAATGTATGAGTTTTGATAGTTTGTTTCATAGTTAGATGTTAATATTTTTTTATTTTGTTGTATTTAATGTAAAACTTTTAATTCCTCTCCTTTGCATTCCCTGTTCCCCAGACATGTTTCCGCAAGTACATTGAAGATCCATCTCCAAAACTTACCCTGAAATGCCCTGTATTGCTTAATCGGCATCCGTTTCCCCTCTCAAAATCTATTTTCGGCATTCGAATCACCCTGCGTGTCAACTAATTTTCACCACACTATTGTTGCCACAAACTTGCAAGCAACCGGTTAATCGAATATCCTGCCCATTCACTGCGCGCTGCTCGCCCACCTTCAACAGGCTGTTCCATTGCAGGCGGTTGTGCGGCCGTTTTCTAACAGCTTCTTGCGCACTACCGTAGTTGACCGATACGCTATCCGGCTTTCCGACCGTCATCCGCTTATTTACTTCGTCTGCTTGCTTGGCATGTGTATGGGTGGTGTTTGTGTTGAATTTCCGAGTGGCGGCTGCTGCTCATGCAACAGCAATAGCGGGTATTTCTTGGCGTTCGCTCCCACATGGTCGGTCAGTTGGTTTCGTTAATGCCACTTTGAAGCGTACAATTATCAAAATGTGCGGATGCCAAGTGTGCATTCACCAGTCAAGAGTAAAGTGAAGAGGGGCAAAAACGTCATAGAAAATATCAGAAATAAAGAATAAAAACTCTAAACAAGCAATTGAGTGAGAGATTAAGAAACCAACGACTGTTGCTGATGCGACTGCTGCTGTTGGAAGGGATTAAAAGCCACAGCCAGTGAGGTGGGCAGTTGTAAAGAGATTCGCGCGGCGATGTGACGTGTAATTTTCTATTGTTTGTTGTTGACGACGGCGCGTTTTGAATGTGTTTTTTGAATTGAATTGTGCTGCAGTGAATTGACAAATTAATTATCTGCAGTTTGCAGATTTTTTTGGATCATTTGAATTTCTGTTTTGCTTCTTTAAACTCCGGAAAACCACTGAATGCAAAAACGCAAAAATTGCCAATTGCAGTAGCTTCGAATTGACGTTGGCTAATAGTTTTGCTAGAACTTCAATGTGTCAAACCAATGTGCAACAAAACTGGCCGTATAATTCAATTGCATTTTTTATTTATTTTAATAATAGTAAACGCGCTAAATTTTGTATGTAAGTAAAGTGAATAGTGCNAATTGTGCTGCAGTGAATTGACAAATTAATTATCTGCAGTTTGCAGATTTGTTTGGATCATTTGAATTTCTGTTTTGCTTCTTTAAACTCCGGAAAAGCACTGAATGCAAAAACGCAAAAATTGCCAATTGCAGTAGCTTCGAATCGACGTTGGCTAATAGTTTTGCTAGAACTTCAATGTGTCAAACCAATGTGCAACAAAACTGACCGTATAATTCAATTGCATTTTTTATTTATTTTAATAATAGTAAACGCGCGTATGTAAGTAAAGTGAATAGTGAAAGATCTTAGTGTAAAAAGAAAAACAAAAGAAAGAAACGCCCAAAGTGGCAAAATATTACGCTGAGGTGCGCGACGGACATTCCTGAAGCCATGATTACAAAAAAATGACGGTGAACGGAAAACACTCAACGAACTAAAGAAGTGAGAAAGTGACAACTAAAAAAAAAAAAAGAAGCAAATTTAGTGAGCGCACACGCACACTCTTACATATTTGTGCGACACATACATAAGAGTGTGTAGGTGAGTTTGCCTCCATTAGAGGAAGAGTAATGGCAGTTTCTATTGTGGTNAAAAAAAAGAAGCAAATTTAGTGAGCGCACACGCACACTCTTACATATTTAGTGCGACACATACGAGTGTGTAGGTGAGTTTGCCTCCATTAGAGGAAGAGTAATGGCCGTTTCTATTGTGGCGTGTGCTCTTAGTGCAGTTGATCTTGCCAACAGTTTCCGTTGCCGCTGCTCATTCCGTGAATCGTGGTGAAAGAGAGCGGTCGAATCTCGTCGTGGTGGCACCGTGTCATTTATACCCATACACACATACATACAAATGCGCATGAAAGTGGTCGCGATCTGCTGCAGTGGTTCAAGATTCATTCGTTGATAATATAAAAGTTGAATATTTGTGTTTTTTTGGTTTGATTTGAAATTTTGTTATTTTTGCATTTGCCGCAACGCTTTGCGTCGCTTTTCTGTTGCCTGGCTTACAGCTGCAATATCAATCAACAAGTGCAACTTATTTACGATGCTCATACAAAGTAGCTACATATGTATGGACCTGCTAGTGTGCGCATAGTAGTTGTTAAAAAGTGAAAAAATAATAAGTGAGAATAAATACGACACATGTACATACAAACATACATACATCATATATGTATATAGTTGCACTCATGCCAACGCAATTTAGTTACTCCATTGTAATAGCAACTTGTGAAAAGTGTAAAATTTTTGTGATCGGAATTAACTTTGCGGTAAAAATGCACGTGTTTTTGGGTTTTTAACAGGCCACAAAATTGAATAATTCCTGCCAATGGCCGTTAAATAGTGTGAGTGTACCGCATATTTGTGTATTCAATCGAAATAAATGCTTGTCTTGTAGGTAAACACTTGGTATAGTTGGATTGTTGTTGTTATTATTATTATATATAGGTAGAGTGTAATCCGTGATAATAATCTTACCATTTCGTTTGTCTTAAAACATTAAAATTAATTAAAATTTTTATAAATCAGTTTTTATGCACATACAGACATACATACATATTTAATTAAACTTAAATTTGGACTTCCTCACTCATTTACTTAAGTTCATTGACTGACTTCAACTTCGCTGTAAATTAAACAAAGCAAAACATGGTTTTTATATGCACAGAAATTAACAGTAGAAAATAATTTGTGGGTATTCATTCTATTTTTCAGCCGACTACGGTGAAGCAGTCTACTTTGCATTCCCCGTAATGAATCAAAGCAGCGAAATTAATAAAATATTGTAAGACATTCTACTCTGCATTACCGGTAATGCCTAAAAGAAGCGCAAAAATTTTAAGACATTATAAGGCAATAGAACACATTGCCACTAAAAGCGATTACCGATTTTTTGCTGGGTATTTAGGAAAGTATGTACGGTGTATACGAATCTCCCATTTTTTATACAAAAAATACATATGTATGTATATCAGTGGAATTTTGTACTTTGTTTGCCATTCCTCTTGTTCGAGTGCGTGTGACAATCGTGCGTTGATAAGCGGTGTCTTTATCTCGTACAGAGTTGCAATTGACATCGGTCACACGCTTAGTTGGGTCTTGGAAAAATCCTACGCATGTAAATGTATGAAATTTCGCTATAAAAACACTTACTCTCAATATTTTTTATTAATTTTATCTCCATATCTAATATTTC